CTTGTGTTTAGGATCATAAGAGGTTATAGAAAGGGGAGACACTTCAAAAGCTGGTTGGTGAAGTGCTTGTATCTAGAAAGAACCAGCATAATGTTCCATGTCTCATGGTTCCCCAGTGTTAATGAGCATCAAGGTGATAGAGGTCTTTTTTAACATGAGATAAGAGACTCAACGGAGCATTTTAATGCAGCCTCATCTCACTCATCCTCAATTATTAGGGCTACTTTCACCACTGTTTATAAAAATGTGCATGCAAATGGCATCATTAGTCTATAATTAATGCTGCTTGTCCCTGGGAGTTCTGCAGTGGCCTCTGGGCGATGTGAAGGACGCTGTCTGCATTGGCTGCCCTGTGTTCTCACCACTGTTATTTACTGTGCGCAGCGAGCACGGGCATTACATGGGATTCTGTTCCCTGCCATGCTTCGGTGCTTCCTTCCGGTAAGCAGGCAATAACGTCAAATTTAAAGGAATCCCGCTCTTCCAAACAGGTCAAAACAAGTACTCAAAGAGCATTTGATATTTTTCTTGTGCATATCACATGCCTTGCTAAGGTCCTTCCTGTATAGAATTGAATCAGGGCCGTTGTCCATTTGGGAGGTAAAAAAGTGTCCAACCGCAAACAAAGGCTCAAACTTGTTAGCATATGATTTTGCATATTATTTGCATGTTAATGGTCTGATGTCAAAACACACAGTCATCTACCTGTCCCTGTTCCTTCCCCTCTATTGTCAAGATGGGCTGATTAGTCTCATTAAAATTAACTCTTAGGCTTCTCCCAGCCTCAACCCCAGCAAAATGAAAAGCTGCTACAGTGACACAAGATGTTGTAAATTGTTCTGACTTTGCTGGAAGACCTGTCATGCTGATGCTAAAAAGCCAAAGCAAAGAAGTCAGTTGTATGGATGAAATTTTCAATTTGTGAGATGGGAGATTGAGTGCTGTTAATCTTGTTCTCCAAGCCCAGAGAGCTTTTTTCTTCTCATTGCCCTAAAACTCCAAAGAACAGCTATTTGGGTGTTCTGTTACCTTACCCGTTCCAAATGGACTTAGTTTTAAACAAAGATAAGTGAATCTGTGATCCATGCATAAGAGCTGCTCATGTTTCTGTGCAACGAAGTATTACAGATGTTTAGGAAAAAAATAAAGGAAACATATCAAGTAGAAGATTCTAATGAGGAGCAGAATTGTCTAAGGGTGGCATCCTGGACATCATTTTGATGGGGAGAATGCAGGTTTGTTAGTGGAAGGTACTCTTCTCAAATCAGTAGCAGAGAGAGACAGTGCATATGGAAATACTTGCTAATAATGGTGAGATGTTTGATTTCAGAATCCAATTAATTCAGAAGTGACTGTAGCTCTCTGGTGTAGTTAAATCTGGTACATACAGCTACACACACATACACACACACATTCCTCTGTGATAATTTAAAGAATTGTATAAGGGAAACTGGGGAGGTATAATTGCTAAGTGGTTTAGAATTATTGTTAAGGTGACAGGCACTCTGCAGGAATACAGAGAGGTGTAATGAAAGCCCTACCCTCAGTTCAACTATGTTCTAGCTGGAAAGACAAATCAAACTCATATAAAAACGTAGCTACCATTTTACAGACCGTAAGTGCATAAGATTCTGAGGAAGGAAGTTACGGTGTTGGAGGAAGTTCTTCATGAGTCTCAGGACATAGCAAAGACACTTATAATATTACTCACTTACCCGTTTACTCGGCTAACATTTGTTGAGGACCTATGCATTAGGCACTGTGCCCCGTGCTAGGTATGAAGCAGTGACTGGGGCACAGTTCCTATTTCCCGATTCAATAATAACTAATAAATCATTTAATTTGTATAGTATGGAAGGGTTCATGAAACTCTTGTATTTTATGTTTACGTGTATAATCAATGCAACCTTAAAGGCTAGTATTTATTGCCCCCATTTTTGGTGAACATACTTTGGGAGAGGGAAATGAGTTTTCAAAGTCTCACAGCAATAAGGTGGCTGAGGCTGGTCTTGAACTCCGGTTTTTTGATTCCAGGTCCTTTACCATCTCAAGTATACCAGAGGGGAGCAATCTAGCTGGGATGCAGTTTTCACGTATAGGAGAGGTAGAAAAAGTACTCTGCCCTAACTCCCATGTCTGGGAGAAGAGGGGATTAAAGATTGAATTCGGTCATCAGTGGCCAACGATTTAATTAATTATGCCTACATAATGAACCCTCCACACAGACTTCTAGACAACAGTTTGGAGAGCATCTGGGCTGGTGAACGCATCGGACTGCTGGGAGGACGGCGTGTGTGGGGCAGGCCTGGAGGGCCCTGTGCAGCGCCTCCCCCCCAATACCTTGCCGGGTGCATCTCCTTCTGTTGGCTCTCCTTGAGCTGTATCCTCAGACATAATCATAAACCAATTTTAGTAAGTAAAGCACTTTGCTGAATGCTGTGCACCATCCAAGTGAATGACTGAACCGAGTGGGAGGTGGTGGGAACCACTGATCTCGGAGTCCCCTGGGAAGAACTGTGGGTAGTCTGGGTCCCCACCACTGCTGGAGTCTGAAGTGAGTGTTGTCTTGTGGGACTTGAACCCTTATCCTGTGGGGTCTGATAATAACTCCAGGTATTTGGTGCCAAACTTGAATGGAATTGTTGGACACCCAATGGGCATCACAGAGTTTGAGAACTGATTGGTGTTTTGTAAAGACATCACATATTTGGTGTCATGAGAAAAAAGAAAAGTCTCTCTGTGGCCCCGAGGGTGCTGAGTTGATCCGTAATACTCATCTATTCTGGGAATTCACCATTCTCAGCACCCTGTCCTGTCGAGCAGAAGTGGGTGTCTGACTCAGCCATGGACGTCCCTTTCCTGTAGCCGTACTTCAACAACACTGTCGAAAATTCACACAGAGGGTCACCCATAATCTTTTACAATAAGGTTCTGTTAAATGGTGTGGTGGCAGAAGCCAATTCTAAGTGTAAGGGATGAATCTATAATGTTGAGGATGTGGAGACCAGGTGGGCAGATCACTTTCTTGGAAAGCACTGGCAGAGAAGGAGAGACCTAGGTGGCCAAAACAGTCTGCAGGCTTTGATTCAGCTGACTGTTACTTGGGTATCCTCTGCAGGGTGGACTCCCACCCTATGTGGTTGAAAGTGATGTTATAAATTTGATTGCTGTAAAGTGAATTGACCCAGCGTGGGAAAGATATTACAATGAGAGGTCGTAGAAGGTGTGTAGAAGACCAGGAAGGTGCGCCAAAGATGAAAAATAGAAATATTTATAAGCATGTAAAAGTGACAAGCTTCAGTTTCAGCTCATAGGGTTTGTGTAGACTTGGGAAGGACCACAGAGATTGTTCAGCTAAACCTGTTCATTTTACGTCTGAAAGGTGAAGTAGCTTTTCTGGCTCTCATGACTACTTAGTCATAAGGCTGGGGCTAGAGCGCTGGGATCACCCGCACGTGTTTTCTTTCCCCTCCTCCCCGCTGCCTTCCTGATTTTGTGTGTGGCCACCGTGCTTCTGGCTACGTGAACACTGCCTTTTTCATCACAGTCTTTCCGTCTCTGTGCTTTTGATCATGGCGTTTCCAAGGCTTGTTCTACTCTCTTCTCTTAACCCTCAGTGTTAAGTCCTGTCCTGCCTTTGAGATTTATTTGAAATGTTATGTCTTGATGAAGAACACCATTCCCAACAGTTCTCTCTCCTTCTGAGCCCTTACAGCACATCGCTTCATGCTTGTATGAGTCTCCTTTATGTGCTGCACTGAAACGCCTGGCGAGATCGTGAGCCAAGCGCCTTTGGAAGGAACATGCCTTACACGTATTCGCTCCTTCTATAGGAATTCTTGCGTCTTTCCATGTGGTCTTTATTTCTATTATCTTTTCCTTGATGATAGTAAGAGATGTATTCGGTCTAACTGAATTATTTTCGCTCTAGCCGACTGAAGTGACCTTTTTTATCCTTTTTAACTGGTCTTCTGAACCATCGCCCCCATAGATCGATGTTACAGAAAGTACAATACACGTGGGTAACGAAAACGGGAAGTGGAGAGTAAGCATCTTTAGTTTGAGTGAACTGAGGACTCAGATTAGTTTAAAGCCTAATTAGTAGGGACTTCCTCTAGACAGACGCTTAGACTTAAGTTAATAAACTTCTCATAACAGGCATTCCTGAAACAGAAAGCCTTTTCTCATGTAGAACATACTTTATCGACTCTTCTGTGGGTTATAGTAACACACATCATGGAGAACTGGGGTAGGGCTGAGAAATTCAGTGGGCTTGATGCACAGGAGTGCGTCTCGGTCCTGGAAACGACCTTTTGCAGAGAAAGAAGTGCTACTAGCCCAGCGTGGTTTTCAGAGCACAGGGAGACCCCCTACCCCCCCACCCCCTCCCCAAAACCACTTCTCACTTGGTTATTAACACTAGAAATCGTGTTACAAACTTTCAGTAGTTTTAAAAGATCTATAGGCTTATGTTAAAAACCCCTATTAGAGGTAGGAGACTGACCTAAATGTAAGCCAATTTAAGATAGAGGCTGGAGGAAGACAAAAAAGAGCTCTTGATTTTGGAAGGTGGTAGGGGGAGGAAAAAGCATTATATGTTAAAAAAAAAATTCTACATAGGGGCTGCTGAAAGCTCCAAAGGACACTTTGTGCGCATGACAGCTTTGCCCTGTGTAGTGATACACACCAAGGATGAGGTCGTAATTGTAGGTCTCCAACTCTCAGTTCCAAAAAGTGTATTATATAAAGCAAATAAACATGATTCTCAGAAATTGACTCCTTATAAAACTTGGCCCAGTTGTTCGCAGGCTCTGAAAGGTTTTCCCCAGTATAAGGTTCAGATCTTTAGACTGCAATCTGATTTTCGACCACATGAGTGAACACATATTTTCCTTTCCTTGGAGTTAATTTTTGAATTGCTTGACCAAGTCACTTACAAGCGACGCAGTAAGTCAGCTCCTAAAGATTGAAGTAATAAAGACTTCCTTTCTTATTTCCAGAATCAGTCATGGACTTAAAATCCCAGTTAAATTCAAAGGCGATGGAGACGTCCAAGGACTCAAAAGGTAAGAAAGACGTGCTGGTCTCACATCCCTCACTCCACATGGTCTCATTAAAATATCCCGCTGATGAGAGCACTATTTCACAGCTCAGCCACCTCCAGATAGTAAGAAACAGCTGCACAGAGGTCAGCTACAGGAGGGCGATGTGAAAAGAAACACAAAGTCACGCCCGAGCTCCTGGAGTTCCAGCCATCTCTGTTTACAAAGTTCATGACATGAGAACAGTCTCAACTGATGATGCCTATTTTTTTTTTAAAAAAAACAGCTGCAAAACTATGACCATCTGGGAGTGAAATAGAACATCCTTCTGACTTGACAAGTAGGATAACACATAAATGTATGTTAGACTAACCTTATTGTCAGAGGCAAGCTTTGGTTCTTTAATAACATGTTCAACTTCTGTTTCTTTTATTTCCTTTCCCTCTTGCCAGTATTCTTCTTAGGCACATTGTGAATTGCTGGTGCATAATCTTTTCCAAAAAATTAGAGCCTTCTATTTCTTTCCTGGCCTGTGTTCTGCACATTTTGTCTGCACCTTGGCAAAGAACTGCTTTGAAGAGCGTAGTCTTGGGGTTTTCTGCCCCTTCTCCGCCTCGTGCCAGGCATTTGTGGGTGCTCCCTCTTTCAGCCTGCTCAGCTGAGGCTTCCACAAGAGGAATTTTCTCCCTCCAACCCCACATTCTTCAGAAGTTGACTAGGACTGGGAAAATCGGCGTACAAAGCATTTTGCATTCTCTGGATGTACCACTCAGTAATTCTTCTGTCTGAAAACTCTGTAATGTCAATAATTGATGCACTTGAGAAGTGGTAATTAAATTAGTTAATTATGCTGGTAAAATTACATGCAATTATGTGACTGCAGGGTATGTTTAGTAAATTAGGCTTTCCCATACTCACTACATATTGTGGTGCCAATTTTGTTCCTTGATGATTAGGTAGCTTTTGATACTTCTTAATTGATTTAATACCTGGATCTTCATTAGCCCTTGATTGCTATGCTATGTATGTCTGACGTTTTTTCTCTCTGATATTTTACTGAGATCGTACATCAAGGGAAAATATACGTACATACTTGGGGATGATACATACAGATATGTGAATATATCCACACGTTTTTCATTTCAAATATTTAGATGTGGAAATATCACCTCCTCCACTGCCCTCCCACCTCCTGGGAAATACCTAATCCTATAATGTTGACTCAGATAGAATCCAAGAACTTAACTCTTTTTGGACACTCTTTAAGGGGAAAAAAAAAGTCATGTTTAACTATTTTGCCTCTGAAATATCAACACAAGTAATACTAGGCGGTAACTGTAGGAAGCAAACACTAGGCATGTTAGGAAAGTTAATCATTTTACCTCTTGACCACGTTTAAATAAGATCCTTTATCTATGAGGAGTTTACTAAAAGGTTCTAAATCATAGAAACTATAAATCTGTCACTTGACACTTAAAGTTTATAGTCTGCCCCAGGCTTCTCATACACATTAGTAAGTCACCAGGGTGCCGTGAGAATGGTAGAGAAACCACTGGTGCTGCTTATGGATGGAGCTTCTTGGTTCAAGATTTGGGATGGCTCAGAGCTGGAAGGAAGCCAGGGAACTGCTTGATCAACTCCTGTTACATAATAGATGAAGAAATGAAGGTTGCGTTGAACGCCTTGTAGATTGTTCCCAGAGTGAAGCAGGGACTAGGGTGGGTCTGGAATTCAGGTTCTGGGTTCTGCCCTCTCGGCCAGTGGTAACATGTCCTACAGCATGACCACTTTTTTCTCCTTCGTCTGTTTCCTTTCAGTCACTCACTCTAAACCTTTGAGTTGCTTTTGCTCAGACAGGGACCAGGCACATTTTCTAAACAGCTCCTTCTTTTACTACAAACTGAGTGTCAGAAGGCACCTTGAGTTGTTTAGAAGAAAACATGTCAACTGTAATTATCTATAATGAAGAATTAGAAATGTGGTCCTTTTTGCTTGCTTGTTTCTTGAGAACTCAGTGCAGACGTCCGCGCCTGTGGCTTTTCCCGTATCCTGTATCCCACTCGTAATGTGAACAAGGAGGCATCCTAGTGTGGAGGAGGACGATTCTGGAGAGGAAAACACTTTTGCCAGTGCTGGGAGGAATGGGCAAGGTTGCTCACTGTTTGGGCCTCTGTCCTTCCTCAGAAGCCAGAGGGGTAGACAGACAGACCCCCACTGAGCCTCTGATGGCACTGAGATTCCATGATCATCTAGGAAATGCCACTTCTGAAATGGATAAGCAAAGACCGCTCGTTACTCACTCGTTACATTTCCTGTTGTTTTTTCTTCTTTTTCTTTTCTTTTTTTTTTTTGATCCTTCAGTAGATGAAGAACACTAGAGATACATGATAATAACTTTCATTTATACAACGTCACATACTGTCTTTGTCTCTCTGGATTTTTGTATCCATCCTGTGGTGACAGAGAACAAGAGTTAGTCCCATTTCATAGATTGTTTTTAATCTAACCCAGAAATTTTTGGCCAGACTTGGATAATGAGTAGATGTGAAGAATCATTCAACCTGTTAAGTAAGGTTAAGTGATACCTACTTCTTGTGCTTTGTGAACTCAAGACTTTTAACAAAACCTGCTTTTGGTTTCTTCTAGGAAGTTTTCCTTACTTCTCTCCAGGCTGGAGTGAGTACTCTCATAATACTGTGTGTCCCCACCGCTGCATTTCTGTTTTATGTTTGGTCACATAGACACATATGACACTGGATGATAAAATGCTGGACAGGAGGCATCCTGGTTGATTTGCATTCTGCTCGTTAACCTTAAGCCCAGTGCCTGCTCCATCGTTGTTGAATGAATGAATGAGGGAGCATTAGCCTGGAAAGTCAGCATTCTTTTCCTTATCAGGTGACATTTAAACTCTTGCCTCTGCACCTCCTACCTAGCAGGTGCAAACACCCGCATCAGAACGACCCAGAGT